GTACTGTATGCTATATACAGTATATACTATGTTTAATAGTATATAAAATGTATAATACAATATGATGATAATAATAATGATAATTACTTTTTATTAAATGTCTACCTTGTGCAGATATTGCTGTATGAGCTTTATATGTACTCTTGAATCCTGACAAGGTAGGTTTAATTGTTATTCAAATTTTATAGATGAGAAACTGAGGCACAGAGAAGTTAGCAATTTGCCTGAAGATCTGAAGTTAGTAAGTGGAAGAGCAAGATTTGAAACGAGGTTGGCTGGCTTGGGTACTAGAGTCTCTGTATAAGGGCTTTGCATCCACCCCTGAGATGTGGGTCTCACCATGTCTTACCCATGTCCAATTCATCCTCAGAACCTCCCCAGAACCTTGTCCAGGTTTACAGTGGTCTAGGAACGCTTGTGCAAAGCAGATGCCATCAGTAGCTAATAGTCCAAGGAGGGAAGGTGCCAGCTTCCTGGTGCCCAGGTGCCCACAGCCAGTGTCCAGTTCCCAAAGACCTGGCCACCTGCTCATTTCTGGCCCAACTAGATAGGCTACATCTGAGCCTAGCAGCACATGACAGATTATTTTTCCCCTAGGGAAAAGCACTTAGAATATACCAGACATACTGTAATGGGGCAAAATGACCACTGAACTAATTAGAATAAGAAAAACAGAGGCTCACTTTGCAGTTAGGCACTGTATTTGAGGGGTGGGCAGAGGTAAAATGTTGGGCACAAGCATGGACCTGATCACGTGGTGCTCAGGCAAGAAAGGGAAATACTCCTTAAGGTGCTCTTTAAGGAAACAGCCTATTCAGGCTAGCAGGGCCTTGCTGAGCCACCTGTCCCTGCCACACTCCAGGCTTGGCAGGACTTGACCACCATCTGAAGATTGCTCTCTGCACCCACCTACCTCAGAAGATGAGAATGGTGTAATGAAATGAGCATCGGCTTGTTAGCAAGTCACTTAAGTCTTCTGAGCTTAATTTTCCTCTCATCTGAAATGAGGACTAATAATAAAATCTGTCTCATGAATTGGGAGAAAATGAAGCATCATACATTGTGAAGTCATAAAGATACCTTATATCTGCAGAATGTTTTAATAATAATAAATAAAAATAATAGCAATAATAACATCTAATATATATACAGCATTTGTCATATTTGAGGAACTCTTCTAAGTGCTTTGTATATATCTGCACAACAATCTTATGAGATAAATAATAAAAATAGTTATTATATCCATGTTACAGATGAAAAACTGAGGCACAGAGAGGTTAAGTATATCATCCAGTCACAGAGCTAGTGAGTAGCACAGGTGCGTTCAAACACAGGGAACCTGGCTTTAAGTCTGTGCTCAACCACCCTGTCATTGAGATGAAATTTTAGCATGTGCATTTATAAAGCATGCCTGCTTCCGCCTTCCCAGGTAATCCTCCACGTCCCAGAACCAGGGAGCTCCTTGGCCCTGGGGAAATCGGACCATTCTTTACACTGAGCTGAATCTACCTTTTGGAGAAGTGTCTGGAGTCTGCTATGGAGCTTAAAACTTGCCTGATGCTTGCAGAAAAATATTAAGAGGGTCATCTTTGTTTTTATAGGGAGGTTGGATAATCACTCCAAACTGTCTAGATTCTCACTGTTCTGACACCTCACTGTCCGTTAGAGTCCCCAGTAGCTGACCCAACTACAGTGAACATGTCTGAATAAACCAGATCTCTGGTACTCATCAGGTACCCACCGCATGCCCAGTACTGTGCAGGGTCATGGGGGCATGATGTGTAAAAAAGCAGGATTATGGTCTCCATCCACAAACAGTGAGCGGTCTACCAGGAGAGATCAAACAGCTGAAAAAATATATTGACATGACGAGATAATACCAGTATGTAATAGTTTGATAACACATGAAATTGTTCAATATTGACAGGGCAACTATGGCAGATGAATTATTTGTGTCTCATTGATCTCCTAGTTTTTTTCTCAAGGTTTTAAGTTTCTGTAAGGACATGGTGACCTGTCCTTCCTTCCAGGGAAGAAAAGAAAATTCCATGTAAAAGACCATTTAATGTTCTTTTACGTACATGCCATATCGCCGAGCTGTGTCTTTGTCCTTTCACATGTACCCTTCATAGCGGTGGTAGGGAGCCAGTTTCAGGTCTGTCACTCCTGAGAATTAACTCACAGTGGTGTGAGCAGAGTGGACTTGAGGCCAAGAGGTTAGGTCAGAAGATTCCCTGCCCTCTACTCCCTTCCTGTTGAGCTTTTACTTCCCCAGGGATCTTGAAACTGCTTCCCAACTCTGGAGATTTAGGTTGCATCTATTATCTTAAATCTTTGGCAGGCTTTCTCACCTAGCTGAGTGACTTAATCTCTTTCAGCTTTAGTTTTTCTTATCTGGAAGACGGATATATAAGAATGAATGTGAGGAGGGACCGAAATAGTCAATACAGAGTGCTGATCACAGTGACCGGTGTATCTCAATAAAATGGTGATTTTCTGCTGTTACTAGCTCTGCTCCCACACTCTTACATCGCTCTCACCATGAGCATTTGCACCTTCATCGTTAGGGGCACCATCATATTCTTCACCTCCCCATCATCATCACCTCACCATGCCTCCCACCTCCCTTAGGACATTTTAAATGAGTGGTTAATGATCTGATAAACACCATGCTCTCCCCAGTGTGACAATGGCTTAATTTGTCACCCTACTCAGCTAATATCTTTATGCAAGTTTTCAGAGATAAGGGACCAACCTGCTGAGAATGAATGCTGGACGGTCTCAGTCCGAGGTGGGAGAGGAGGGCTGGCAGCTCTGGCTGGAGGGACCTCTGGATGCTCCTGATGGGGCCTCCTTGATGGCTGGTGGGTGCACCTCAGAGAGAGATTCTTTTTACTGAGTTCTCACCACTTTCCCATGAATAGCAATGCAGGTAAAAGAGATCTTAGTCCACTAAAATCCCTTCTTCCCATTAATTACAGTGTCATGGTAAAGAGAAGATCCTTCATTCCAATTTTAGTCCCTAAAATGGGAGTGCCTGGGAGAGAACAACAGAAATATTTGAGGTTGAGGTTCTGCAGCAGGAAAAGCACAGAGTTAATTACCTTTGGCTTTACAGCCATACATAATTGTGTCTCATCTTTATAACCTGTGGCTATGCTTTGAGGGTTTCTGAAGTAGAGAAATTACCTGTCCGTGTCCAAAGTCACATTCTAGTTAGGAGCTCATAGGAAGATGGACGTAAATACTACTTGGGCCCCCAAAGAACAGCACTTCTCTGGAGATATGTTTATTTGGTAATTAAGAAGAGTACAGAGACTCATTCTGAAAGTTCTGCTCGGGGCTCTCATGTAAAGTTCCACTCTGTGAGGGGATGTTCAGTTCCGTTGAATTTCTTCACCAAGTCAACACAAATTACAGTGTGGAAACGAACGTGTGAAGACATTTCCGATGTATTTCTTTTTTTTTAATCCTTGGATAAAAGCACAGTCAGACCTTTGTGCACAATGTGGATTCTGAAGCTATAGATGACAGAGTGGGAGGATCTCAAAGTATCTCAGGGGAACATTTAGCACAAACACAGCACATGCCAACCTGCCTCGAGGCCAGGACACCAGCGGCTTCTCTGAGCAATCCCCCTCTTCCTACACACTCACCTGAAAGGGGCCAGAGGGCATCCCCTTGGCTTGCACAGGAGGCTTGGTCCATTCATTCACTGAACAAGTATTTATTTAGTGGCACCTAATGCCAAGTGTATTCAAGGTGCTGAGAATACAGCAGTGAACAAAATGGGGAAAAATTCCTACTGACATAAATTCACTTTTCCTCAGATTGGCTTAATATTGTTATTTTGCTCTCTTTGATTATATATATGAGTGAGTATATATTTGATATATATATATGTATGTATATTCTATATACATATAGAATATATATATTTATGTATGCATATTTTATATATAAATCTTAGATTTCTCAGGTTTATATACAAGTAATACATAATAAAAAATAAATATATTTATATATAAATATGTCTTCTTTGATGGCATGTTCCAAGAATTCAGGGTTCAGTTTATCTAAACTGATACTTGCACAAAGTCCAGAATAGCATCATTCATTCATCCAGTCATTCATTCAACACATACTTTCTGTGTTGAGTTGGGTGATAGGGATTCAGTGATGAACAAGGTAGGAAATCTCTCATACAAATTCGAGTATAGTTTAATAAATATTGAGACAAAGGTTTTTGACAGTTAATTCAGGTTTAATGACATACAAAACTTAAATCTTACATCTGAAAAGACATATCTTACATCCAAAGAAAATGCCATATTTATTACTACTTGACACATTTTCAGCATTAATGACTTTGTCCACACCGTGTACAGTCTGAGTTAATTTTTTTCTTTTAGCTTTTCCTTTTGAGATAATCTTAGCTTTATAGAAGGTTTGCAAAATAAAGTACAGAGCATTCCAGGATACCCTTCGCCTAGCTTCCCCTTATATTATGATCTTACTGTAACTATGGTACATTTATCAATAATTTAACATTGGTACAATACTATTAACCAGGTTACAGCCTTTACAGGATTTCACCAGTTTTTCCATTAACATTTTTTTTCTTTTCCAGGATCCAATTCTAGGATACCCTATTGCATTTAGTTATCATATCTTCTTAGTCTCCTCTCATCTGTGACATTCAGTCTTTCTCTGTTTTTTATGACATTGACACTTTTGAAGAGTACTGATCAGGTGCATTGGGGCATGACCCCAAGTTTGGGTTGCCTGGTGATGCTTCCCTGTGTCAGAGAAGAGTCATGGGTTTTGGAGGAAGGATGGCGCAGAGGTGGAGTGTCCTTCTCATCGCATCATGTCAGGGGGACCTGGGGCCAGCGCCACTTCTCACTGGTCACATTGACCTTGGTTGCTTAGTTAAGGGGGTGTCTTCAGGTCTCTCCACTGTAGTTATTTTATTTCCCTTTATATGATCTGCATGTTAGAAGCTGGACACTGAGTCTGCACTCAAATGGAGGGGAATTCAACTACCACCTGGAGGAAGACTTGCTTTCTGTGTGAGTTTTCCTCACCTGTATGTCCTGTCTTGGGGATGAAGAGATCATAGTATAATTTCTCCTTTAAGTGATGTTGAAGTTGGCTATGTTAAAGTTCAAAAATCTAATCTGTTGGTGTAGTGCTTTGTTTAGGAAATCCTTCATCATTCAACATGAACTTTTATCAGGGAGAGAGGAGTGTTTTCATTGGAGAAGTTCTCCATTCTGAAGTTCTTGTTGCTTGTAAATAAACTCCAGTGCTACAAACAAAATATCTTTTCTTTCCTCAGTTTAATGCAGTGTTAGCAACTGCTCATTGTATTTTAGAGTGAGTGTCCCGGGAAGAGTCCAGTGCACATGGCCGTGGACTCACAGCACATCGTGCCTGCATGGGATGAAGGGCATTTGGTTCAGCCTCCTCGCTTCACAGATGAGGAAACAGAGGTCCAGAGAAGAGGCACTGCTTTTCTGAGGTCATCAAGGCAGTCACAGGGAACCTGGCCTCTTGCTTCTCAGGGCTCTTTCTCTGTAAATTCCTGTCCGACCTCCCCAGCAATTGAGGGAATCTGTTCTATCTCCTCCTGACCCCATCCCAGCTCTTCCCATAGAGTAGGGCTTTCCATTCCTTTCTGAAGATTAGGAATAAGGCCTATATCTGGGCCATATTTAGAACAACACAGGATTAAAGGAAATGTTCCACTCCGACCCAGCTCACATCTGCCACCCTGGTGGCAAGAGGACCCTGTATCCTGCAGCCACTTCCCTGTTCCCCAGTCCCACCAGCCTCAACTGTAGCCTGGAAGCCTCATTCCCAGTTTAGCCAGGCTTTACCTGGGATGAAGATGCTATGGTTTCAAAGTGGAAACTCTTTTGAAAAATCTGGAGTTTATTTTCAGAGACTGTTGTCTCATGAACAATGAGAAAAATTATCTTAGAACACTGAGACAGCTTAAAGCCATGAAAGGACTAAGAGGTCTTACCTTAAAAAGCAGTAAGAACTCAAAAGTTTGCATTTGGAGAAGAAACTGGAAAAGTGCCCCTGCCTCTCACTTTGGCTGGGGTTAAAAGGCAGTGAGATAGACATCTGACGGAATATGCTTAACTAGTGAGATATGTAATTTGCTCCCAGTAAAAGAAATGACATTTACAGTCCCACTCAACTCCTATGCAGAAGGAGGCCACCAACGATCAGCTCCTCAGGGAGGCATTGTCCACCATCACCCCAGACAACACAGTGCAGGAGAGGTAGGGGCAGGGCCGTCCCAAGCCAGAAACTAGGCAGTACTCAGCGTTTCAGCCAGAATATCTGATCAGCGGGGCTTTTCAAATTGCCCATTCTGAGAGTCTTGGCCAGTTGGTGAAACCGAGAAGCAAAGCCAAAGTCAGTGAGAGTTTGCAAAGAAGTGGCTGCAATTGGGTCCAGGGCTCTACTGCAAAGGACTTTCACAGGCTGCATGATCCTCTTGGTGAAGTGAGTAAAGATAGTTTTTGCTGCCTCAGTTTACCTCTCTAAGTTGTGTGTCATCCGCATGTCCCCCTTGGCCTAGGGTCTTTATTATTTTCTCCATTTCCCTCCATTAAAATATCTCAGGAAAGCTCAGGAACTCATTCCTACGAGCATCTAAATCACTGATTCCACATCAAAGTTTTAGCTTTTTAGAAGGATCATTGCCTTTCAACAGGGCTAAACACTCACGCAAGGTTCTCAGCCTGGCCATGCTTCAGTGTCACTTGAGGAACACTTATAAATACAGAAGCCCAGGCCCCACTCAAAGTCTATAATGTCAAAAAGCTCCTCCGGTGATTCCCATGCACAGCTAGGGCTGGAAACACACATTCCTATTTAAGCCAGAGATCCTCAGTGAGTGGTCCTCTGACCAGCAGCATTGGCATTGCCCGAGGACTTAGGAATGCAAATTTTGGGGCCTGAAGCAAATCTCCTGAATCAGAAACTCTGGTGGTGGGGCCCAAAAATCTGTTTTATTAAGCCTTCCAGGTAATTCCGATGGTACACACTGAAGTTTGAGAACCACTGCTTTAAGCAAAGGAACCAATGTCTAAACTTGAACACTTTAGTTAGAAGTGGAGGGAGTGTGGGTAGAGGGCAGGGGTTCCCTCTTTAACCACATTTCATAAATGTTGGCGTGTCTGTGAACACATATAGCCATCTCTGGTTACTTGTCAATCAAGTGAAGCTGTCTCAGATTCACAGACCATCAGCAATGTTAGAAGTGTCTCCTCCAATGGGATGGACATTTTTCTTAAAGTGGCAATCACATACTGGGTAGTAGTAGTTGGTGGTGGTTATGCTGGTGGTCATGACTATCCCCCTTCCTTCCTCTCACGCTCCACAAGCCACAGATCACAAGCAAGACAGGGCAGAGGCAGAGAATAAAGTTGTGGTAGGGGAAAGAAAGAAATCGATTGGTTAAACTAAGCTAGACTGAATTCAAGGCCATGTACCTCTCTTGCACAGTGTTTCTTCATTTGTAAACTTAATCTCAAAACAGTGATCCCAAAGCACTCACTTGAAGGGCAGTGCTTTCATGGCCTGAAGCATTTGGCCATAGATCTCTTTCATCTAACACTAAACATTTGGCTGAAATGTGGGGACATTCGATTCTATTCAATAACATGATTTTTGGTACCAGGGATATGCCGATGAACAAAAGGGACATTGTCCCTAACCTCAAAATCTGGGAGAGAAAACAGACAGGTGAGGAATGGATAAAGAAAGGGAAACATCGCAAGGATGCTGTGTGAGCACCTGGCAGTTACTTGGATCTTAGTTCTGGGGTTCAGGTAAGTCTTCGCTGGGTAAGTGATGTTTAAGCTGAAAACTAAAGTTGAACAGGAATCAGCCAGGTGAAAGGATGCAGGGGAGGGAAGGAAAGATTAGGAAAAAGAACATTCTAGATAGAGGAAGAGCTTATGTGAAGGCTTGGAGAAGAGACAGAGGGCGAGAGCCTGGCGTGGATGTTTCAGGAATGACAAGCCAACTATTTAGGATCCTGGAGTGTAGAGATGTGGTAGAAAATGAGCTTAGAAGGCCAGCAAGTCCAGATCCCTGAAGGCCTAGGAAGTTAGATGAAGGATTTGGACCAGGGCCTAAGGGCAACTGGAAGCTACAGAGGGGTTTAAAGCAGTGGAAGAATATGACAGATTTGCATGAAAAAATAAATCTCTTGGCTGCATTTTAGAAAGTGGATTAGAGGAGGTGAGAGTAGGTACTGGGAGACAGGAGATGTCTGTTATACAGATTAGACTTGTAAATGTTTTCTTAGGAAAAATATGAAATGAATTAGGAAACTATGCAATTAAAATGTGTATTTCCTCTTATGTTCTTTTTCAGCCCTAATTTTCTTTCTTTGGATGAAGAAGATCCTCAGCAGCTATCTTCAAAGAATATATATGCATTTGACATGTGGAATACTTAGTGGCATGAGTAAGTCAACTAATAAGAATTGAACATTAGCCATTTGCAAAGTGCAATATAAAACACATTGTTGGACACCATGGGAAATTCCAGGATCGCTTGGCCCTTGCTCATAAGAAACTAACAATTGAATTATGGAAATAAAAACATTTAAATGTAGTTGAAAAATTCATGCAAATAATTTTGATTAAGTATCAAAAAGTAAGGATGCAATCATACATACTCTAAAAGGAGTAGTAGAAGTAGTTTCATGGAAGATGTAGGTCTTGAGCAAGTCTTTGAAGGATCCTGGGGGTAGATGGACAAGCCTGGTGGGGACAGTGCAGTAGAGGGGATGGTGTGAGCAGTGGTACCCACATTTGTGGTTTCAATTTGCCTTGATTTTTAGAGAAAGTAAACTGAACCTCAGACATAATACAAAAGCACACTAGCTTTTGGCAAAAAATAAGGGAGTAGTAAATGCCTCCATCTTAATTGGTGGTCAGTTTTCTGCCACACCTATCAGAGCTGCAGCAGAATAGAGGGACAAGGGTGGACCTGGTGGAAGGACAGGTGGGGTCCACTTGAAAGAGGCCTGAGAGGGTGGAGAGAACCCAGGCACTGCCACAGGGAGTGCAATGGGCTTCTCATGACTGGCTGGCCACCCCGGAAATCAGTGTGCTCTGGCTCAGGACATCACCCAGTGTCAAGGCAGTTTAGAAGTTAAATCTAACAGAAGGGGTCATTTCCAAAGTCACACCCACCAGAAGCCTCAGCTCTTTGCCTCTTAGCACTGAGACAATCTGCTCTTGTGCAGGGGTTCAGGTGCTCTGAGTGGTACATTTGGCTCTGACTTGCCCTCAGTCCCAGGTACAAGTTGCAGTTTGGTGGCCACCTAGCATCACCCTGGGCAGGGGGTGGGGAAGAGACTGCAGGTCAGGGGCACTGACGGCAGGCCTGCAACAACAGTCGGGTCAGGGTCAGACTGAGAGAAGACCAGTGCGCCTCTGCAGGCCAGGATGAGAGGCTGTGTGAGAGGACGGGGTGGGGCAAGCCTGTCTCAGAGTCAGCAGGAAGACACTGTCTGCTTGGCGGGTGCCACGGGGAGCTCCACGGGGTAGAGCGCTTCCAGCCCTGTGTGCCCATGGTGGTGCTGCAGCGCTGTCTGGACTGAGGGCCAGGGAAGCCAGAGGAGCGGATAGATCCAAAGACAGCCTATGGACCCCACTCTGTTTTCAATGCAATTGGTCCTCATAAGTTGTATAGTTTGGGGATCTGCTTAATAATTCACTAATAAAAAAAGGATCTAATGAAATCCCTTGAAATCTTTGTCAATTAGGCCTGTTCACAACATGCTGTTTTGGTCCCTTCTTGAAGGAATGTAGGGAAGGTACTTATTGAGCACCCCAACTCTGTGGAACCCACCAGGGCGGCATGCTGAGCCCCAGAACCTGCTCACCATGTGCAGACCAGGCAAAGCTGTGCCGGGGTCGCAAGAGCCAGAGAGCTGCTGGCAGGAGCATGAACAATGGGCTAGTGTGTGTGCTGCCTGGGGGGCTCAGCGGAGGTGACTGTCCGTCGGGGCTGTGGAGGTATGTTTGCCCAGGCAGGAAGCCACAGGGTCCCAGCCAGCCTCCCCTGGCACAGCTCCTCGCCGCACCTGCAGCGAGCCCCTGAGCACCTTGAGGATGGCAAGAACAGTTGCTGGGAAGCCTGCCCCAGCCCACCTGGGCTGCCCAACTTCTTCCTTATTTCCTGCTTGTGTCTGAGGGCTCCCCACACCCGTCCCAGTCTAGGAAGGTGGTTGCCAACCTGGGAAGGGAGACTTAGCCACCTCATGGCTTCACTATCCAGGAGATACTTGCTGAGCTGAGGGAACTAAGAGCTAAGGAAACAGCTTTTAAGGGGGAGAGGTCTAATGGGAACAGTACACCTCATAGGCTTTCACTGGTATCTGTGTGGGATGAATGATTTTATGAGTGTGCCTGGGCTCTCCCACTGTCTTAAGACTGTTGGGCCCACACAGATGTAACTGTATATTGGTGATATAAACTATATATGTTATACATATATATGTTATATATTCAGTTATAGCTGTATATGTAACACAGGTGTAACTGTATATTGGTGGGTGGGAGTGACTGTATCATAAGACCCCAGCACTCCTGGTGTCAGTCACTTGGGGAATAGGCCTGCCTTTCAGAGCAGGCCTGGAGATGGGCACAGATATCTCAGGGTGGGCTCCTGTGGATATGAGCAGTAGAAATAAGGAGGCAGTGGAGGTGGGCCACACATCTGGCATAAATTTGAATGTCATTTCTGGAAAGGCAGGACTTGTGAACCACTGGAATGAGCTGGTTCTGGCAAGTTCCCAAAGCCAGACTTTGCTGGCTTGGCTTCACTGCCATGCCTGGGGTTCTCTGGGCTCATCGCCACTGAAGCCTTTCTTGCAGAGTGTTTAGTATTGTACGGCCAACCTTTGTTGGACATCTACTATTGCCAGCTTTGTGGTGCTCCTTTTCATTCAGGATGTGATTTGGTCTCTACTACAGCTTGGGAAGGAATTATTTTCTCTCTTTTACAGATGGGGAAACTGAGATACTAAATGTGTTAAGTGACCTATTTAAGGTAACACAGTTTTAAGTGGTAGAGCCAGGAATTGAACCTGGATATATCCCATCCTAGAAGGTTTTTTTTGCTGTGGACTCTTCTAGAAGACATCAGCCTGTCTTGCCTGTGTTGAGTGTTGCTGAGGCAAGTGTCCAGTTCAAGCTTGGAGGAAGCTGTCCACTGGGAGACGAGTCCTTCCCTCCTAGAGCATTTCCTTCCCGTGCTAGGCTTTAGACCCTCTGGTTTTACTTTATGAATGTGGGAGCCATCCCTCATGGCTTCTTTCTGTAGTCTCTGGTCAGCTGTTCCCCAGAGATGGGAGTGACTATTGAAGAAATTTTCTAATGAGTCTGATGGTTCATCAAACTTTGGGGTTAAAGCAGACCTCCAAATATACTGTTCTCTGGGTGGCCAACATCCCAGAGACCCACACTCCGCTACTGCCTGGTTTCAGCGTGTACTTCTCAGGCATCCCTATGGACTGAGAGGCCCAGGCAGCTGCTGAGGCTGCCTGAGGGCATTGGGAGGGCTGAGGAGGGGCAGGGGTTCAAATGGTTGATGTCTGTCATTTTCTCTGGTTGATCTTATCAGTCTAAGCTGCTTTCATAGCCACTGACAGATGGGAGGAGCATAATGGCTACCTTGATTAGATTATGTGATTCCTTGTCACCTAGAGCTGTGATTTAGTTAACTGGTTCCCTGGTCCAGAGAAGTAACAGGAGAGAGAGTGATAGCAGTGGACTAGGAGGAGGCTTGGGGGAGATCTAGATGACATCAGCCGACAGCGGTCTCTGTTGTTCTAGCAATCTTTGTACACACTGGCATGTATGTTTATGAAAGTAGGTGACTACATGATGATAGTATCTATCATCACTCTGTTGCATGTGCCCATGCCTCTCTGTGCTCCAGGCAGAACCGCGGGACTCTCCCTGGGGCCAGGTGCAAGCCCATCCATGGCATCATAAGAGTAACAACTATCCCTTTTAGATGCTTACTATTTGCCAGGGACTGTTGTAGTGTTTTACATATATTAATTGATCTAAGCCTTACAAAATTTTATAATATGTGTATCCAGAGAAGGTAAGTAACTTGCCCAAGGGTGAATGGAGGCAGGATCAAACCCAGATCTTCGCTTATAAGCCTGGGCTCTCAAACACCAAGCTCACCACTGTTGCACAGGCTGGAATAGGCTGGGATGCCTATTCCCCAAGAGCTCAGAGCCAAGCAATAAATGATGAAAGAGCCAGGCTGGGGCCTGTTTTATGAACAAGACAGCTAGGTGTTGTGGAGGGAAAACTGGAGAAGCAGGGTTCTCAAATGTGATTCCCAGGACAGCTGCAAATCCCTAACTTGGTAGAAATGCAAGTTCTCTGGCCCCATCTTGGATCTACCAAGTCAGAAACTCTGGAAGTCATGATTCTCTTGCATGATCAAGTCTGAAAACAACTGGAACAGGGAGTTAGATGGCTATGCTCCAGCCCGCCTGTGCCCTTGCCTACCTAGATGACCATGGGTGAGTGATTTCACCTCTTGGATCCTGGTTTCCTCATCTTTAAAATGGAGGATCACTGCAGATTCATTCACTTTTCATTAATCCAACAAACATTTCTCAAGTGCCTGCCATGTGACAGAGTCCAAGAACACAAAGAGGGCACAGTGACAACTGGGCGGCTTGAGATCGCCTATGTTTAGCCCTCTAATTACAAGGTTAAACCTCATTAATTCTTGCTGCAATAGTTGTTAGAAAGGCCCTCTCTCTACCTCCCCTTTCTCCTACCTCCAATATATCTCTCTACTGTTGCCAAAACCACATTTAAGGGAGCATAATTCCAACCTTGTTGCTCCTCACTTAAAAATCTCCAATGGCTCCCTATTATCTATGCTTTCCAAATGGAACAAAATGAAGGACCAGGATGTTTATGATCCTTAGAAATAGCAGAAGCCTTAGACACAACTCTACTGAAGATGCACACCTATAGGATGGTCAGGAGAAAGGAATCCTGGCCTGCACATGTCCAGAGTTGTATGAAATATGAATCCAGTGGCTGAAAAAAGAAAAAAAGAGCAAGATTTCTGTGTGACATTTGACAAAGCTCTTCTCCATGGGATTCACATGACATTTCCCAAGACAAATCTGGCATATATTTCAAAGCCTACAAAATATTCAAAGCAACAGAAAATGTGTGTGTTGGCTTAAGAGTCAAGACTTAACAGAATGAGTCTGAGTCTATTTTGGCAACTGTAGCCATTTTACTCATCAATTAGTATACTGAATGAGGTCCCTGGGGCTTAATGTCTGCAGTTAACTTTGAGGGTTTTCCCAACCCAACAATGCGTACAGCTGATGCCTGCATGGTTTTCTCACCCTCTGACAAAGAATAAAAGAACCAGTGATTAACAGATCCATGAGACTTTATTGGGCACATATTCTATGACAGGCATAATGTCAAATATACTGGACCTAAAAGAAACCCTTAGATGCTTTGCTAAGAAACATATGCTTCTTCCACCAGAAGAGGCCATCTGCCAAAGTTTCTGCTTTCCACAACTTAGTGTCATCTCTACATTGGGCAATCCACACTCGAGGTGAAGTAGGTCTGGGACTGCTTAGCAATCTGAAGATGCATGTCTTCACGTGCATCCGCCTGTGAAGGCTACTTCCCTGGTGCAAAATAACCACCTTGTTTCAAAGAGCTAAGTAGTCCAAGTTGTGTTCTAGACTTTTAAAGTGGGACTGGCAGCTTTCGGAGAATGAAAGAAGGCAAGGATGCTTGGGTCCTATCAGACATTTTGCTTCTGGGCTCTGCATCCCCTGGTTAAACCCTCCTAGGCACCTGTGAAAGAGTGGAAAGCCCACCACAGTGTCGGTCCCACTTCCTGCTAGCTGAGTGAACTTGGGCCTCCTTGATTTCAGTCTCTACTTTGCCACTGGGAGGCAGTGGCTGGTGTTCAGTTGATGTTTGCTGAATGTAGAATATCTGGGTTTAATGCCAGATATTGATGATTTTTAACTGTATCCCTTAGCTGGGTTTTTAGAAATGTTTTCCTGAATGTGTCCTGTGGAAATACAAGTCTGGAGGCCTCAAGATGTTTGCTTGGGGAAACACTTTCTGATCCATGGCTTTCCTTTTTCTGGTGTGAAGATACATGTGTGGCTGTTTCCCTCGAGCTACCCTCCACTGCCACTAGAATTAAGCTCTATGTGGTCAGGAACCTTACTCTTCTTGTTCACTGCTATATCCTCAGTGCCCAGTATGATTGGATGACAGTAGAATGATAGTCAACAAATATTTGCTGAATGAATGGAGAGATAAATGGATAGATAGAGGGATGGATGGATGAATGACTTGTTGTCTGGGACTTTACTGTCTTGTGGTGGTAGAATTATATAGTGATAAGAGATGTCATCATAGGAAAAAAAATTTGTTACTGTGTGTGGTAGATTTTAACTAGATTTACTATAGTGATAATTTTGCAATATATACGTATATCAAATCATTGTGTTGCATACCTGAAACTAATATTATATGTTAATTATTTTTCAATTAAAAAAAGGAAAAAAAAAAAGAGCTGTGGAATCAGATTGCCTAGATTGGATCCTTGGCTCTTATGAGCTGTGTGTTTAGCTGTTAACCTCATTCTGTCTGTTGCCTCATCTGTAAAATGAGACTAATACTTCAAAGCATTGTTATGAGGATTAAATGAAATGATATATGGAAAGTATTTAGAATGGTTCCTGGCATACAATGATGTGCATAATCTTGGCTATCATTGGCTTATTTTGTGAACTGGAAGATATGCGTGGAGCTCCTGGAGCTGCCTGATCACCATCGCCTCCCCCCACTCCTTTTTTTCATGGTGTGACTGTGTCTATTTGTGAGACCCATTAGCTATGGGAGATTTGTTTTTTAGGAAAATGTACTCATGCCAATCAATTTGTATTTAATTGTGTGCCTGTTACATTTCTTACCCTGCTTCTGTTATTGTTTTTGTATTTGCTCCTATAGACAATGATAGAGATAACTCAAAACTTTCAAATAAAAAAATTATAGTATTTCATGTTAATAAAAATATTAACACCAAATAATGACTATCATTTATAGAATCTTTACTATGTGCTAGGCATTTCATGCTTCATAAGTGATTGCCTGGACCAGCGGCGGTTCATGGATACCTAGGTATTGACTGGCTGTCAGTATCTGACTTTGTTTCTGGGTTCACTGAGGACAGGCTTAGCTAGCTTACTTCATTCACTAGTTTCTCCCTGGTGTTACTGTGGGCACATAACTCAGAGTTACTGCATGACTGAATTCACTGCTCTGTCTTCGGAGACAGAATTTTTTCCTTTGGACCTTCAAGATGTCTAGCATTTTTAGTTATCTTTCTCCTTTACTTCTACTTTTCCTCTTTTCTTCTTTCTCCACCTACATCTCTATTTCTATCTCCTTTCCGTCTTCATTCAAGCCACTTTCTCACCAAATTAGAGATGTGGCAGTTCAAAACATGCAGCATAGCCACCTGTCCACAGCTCCACCGTGACAGAAAGCCATGCAGCAGTGTGGCATGGACACAGACAGACTTGTCCTGACAGGCTGGTGCCTTTTCCTTTCTGCAGTAAACTAAACCTTTGATTCACAAGGAAATGAACTTTGGCTTTATTGTAATTCCTATTTCCATAGTGTTTGGGCACAAATCATGAACTATCCCTGGGGAGTATCCTGAGTCACTGGAGGATTTGGTGTTTCAGGAAGAGGAAGAGGAGGAGGCTCTTCGTGCATTTTCAGAAGGAAAGATGATTGACAAGCATCATCTCAATCACTGGACAAACTCCCCTCACTTTACTCCTTTGAGCAGTTAGCTCAAGGGGAACTTGGGCCAACAGCATCTCTGATTTCAAATAAAAGCTTTCAAATAAAAGAATTTGTTTTTCAGGGGCTCTGGTCACTTGGAGGCCCTTTAACACTACACAGAGAGGCTGGAAGACTGTGAGGTCTGAGTCACAGGCACACAGAATGGGTGCGAGGGCATAGGATCACCTGATCACTATTCCTTGGTGGGGGAACTGCAAGAAAGGTGTCTGTGGGTGCAGAGCATTCATGGTGCAAGTTCCCTCCTGCGTTTGGGAAATGGTGGTCATGTGCTTCACTAGACAATGGATCTTCCATGCTACACTTCAGTTAGAGATTTTTGTTTTTCTTCTTAATTAAGGCTTTCTAGGGGGCATTTCAATAAATAAGAGCTGAAAGAGGATAGATAGGAAAAACAGATCTTGAGTAACATGGAAGGATTCATTTCTTCAATTTTAAAAATGAATAAATTCACCATATTAAAGGTTAAGAAAAACTATATGACTATCTTAATAGATGCAGGAGAAGAATAGGACAAATACAACATCCAGGCATGGTGCACACTAGGAACAGAAAGGAACTTCATGAGCTGACAGATGACATCTTCAATAAAGCCCACAGAGAAGAGCACACTTAACTGTGAAAGACAGCTTCCCCCTGAGATGTGGAGCTTGGCAGAGGGCTTCTCTCTCACCACATTCACGTGGAGGATGCTTGGCTTTTGGCCCAGGAAGGCAAAGAGGGGAGACGGTGATTCATAAGATGTGCTCTGGGAGTGACTTGAGCTGGGAATGTCGAGGAAGTCTTCAACCAGATGCGATGCAGCCATCCCAGGCAGGGTTCAGTACGCATGTGCGAAGTCTCGCCAAATGGGATCCTTCCTGGAAGAATGGGGGCAGGGCTCTGCTTAGGGGGACAGTGAGGGTACAGGCTGCCAGCAGGGGGTCCTGAGCCTCAGGAAGAACTAGTTTTTGATTGCTTTGGTTGGTGCTTCCTAAATCCCAAAGTGATGTCACCTGAATTAAAAAAAACAAAAACAAAAACAGTCCACAAGTCGTGGACCACTCTAGACCTACTAAGACAGGTTTTCTGGGGGTGGAGCCCATAAATATTTCTTTATAACAATAATCCCACATAATATTGATGGGAACTACTCTCTAAGAATTCTTATAAGACTCTCCATTATTTTAAAAAATCAGGTTTTTCATACCAGTGAAAATGCTTGAGCATAGGGACTGTGTTTCCTTACCTTGGTATCCCTAATACCTAGTGTAATTCCGAGTACAGAGTTAGTGTTCAATAGGCATTTGTGGATGTATCATGGAAGATATTTCCTGAAAGTGGCCATCAACTATGCAGACCGTGGAAGTAGGTGCTGTTGGTGGCACAAAGATGAAGCTATCAAATTGAGCCTATTATTCAGTGTGTGGTGCCAAGCCGTGGTAAGGAAAAAAATATCCCTTTGCATTGGAAGGACCACATAGTGGATAGAATAGACTGTAGAACTTTTCTCTTTCAAAGGCTTTTTTCCAAAGCTCTAGGGTAACAGGAGAATCAAAGGTAATAACCACTAGGTTTTCTTGGCTATCTTCCTGGATTAATTATGGCGGTCTTGGGCCACAGATTGCAGTTAAGGCCACTTGGCCCTGGTTTTCTCCCTGCAAAATGGGGGAATGGGCACTTACCAGCTGCCTGTGTTGAAAACTGTCAACAGTCAGTATGATGTCAGTATGACTATAGGCCTTCTGTCTAGCAACAGAGGGCCTTCAGAGATAGCCATAAAGTTGGGCATCTTCCAGCCTGCTGTAGAGACCAGGCTGTTACATGTGATAAAACCCTAGGTTAGAAACACTGGCACTCATACAGGCCTCTTTGACTTGTGTCTATGAAATTTTTGTTTGATCAGAAAGAATTTGATTTCCTTTTTAATTGTTCTTAATCATAACATCTAATTATTTAAGGCACAATAAAGATTTAAAGGCCATTCCTAGATAAGGACCTGCTATGTAAACTGTCAGCCATATATGCAGATGTTGGCTGGGAAGTGGGAATGATGAGATATGGTCTGAATCCCACCATTTCTCTGGCAGGGGTGGCAGGACCTGCTTTTCTTTTGAAAAAATAGAAATTGGTGAAGCTTGAAGGGTTTCCTAGTGTGTATGAATTTTGAGAACAAAAACATGAAAAGGAATTTAGTTATGTATGATCAGAATGAAACAATGAAAATCAGTGTATGTAGAGGACTCTATACTAGGCTACTGATTTAATCATTGCAGTAACAATCATTATTATTATTATTTTGATTTGGAAGAGGTGGAAACTAAAACTAGGAGAGCTTAAACAACTTACTGAAGGCCACTAACAGTGCAATGGATTTGAAAACAGGCTTTCTGACTCCAAATAATTTCTTCAGTATGCCCTGCTGCCTTGCTCAGGGGCATATTCTACAGAAGAATGAAATGATAATCATTTGCTAGCAGAATGACAAAATAGGGTGGCTGACTCAGTGTGAAAGGAAACATGAGACATTGCCTGTAGGCAGCAATGGAGTTGATATTATGCCCACGGACTACCCTTATCACTTGGGGGCCCATTATTATTCTAGCTACACTTAGGCAATTTATGTTTCATATATTTAAAAGTTTGATATTATAGTGTTTTACTAAAATAAACAGTAACCCTTAACCTTGGAATTCTCGTGAATTCTATGGACTGTTTCCTAAGGAAAATGTATATATGTATACACAGCACCTCCCTTTAAAACACTTGTGTCCTCCCCTCCCTCCCGCCCCACCTTCAAGGTCAAAAAATCTTTCTCTAGTTATGTGACTACAAATTGCTCTGAGTTTCTGGGCCACAGACAATTGTTATAGTCTAGGAGTTATTCAACTTGTAGACCATCAATTTTTCTATGATCTAGTTAACCCATATCTGCATTGATGAGAAATCATTCATTGCAAGGTCATATGGATTTTTTTTGTCTACACAACACCAAATATCTTGCTATATGTTGCTAACAATTTGTTTTGTTCATTGCTGTACCCTAAAGCCTGACAATAGTAGGTACAGTTACATGATGTAATCTATGTATTTATTTATTTGTTGTTGAATATGTGTTTCTGAAAATTGTTGGGGACAAAAATCTTTGGAAATTAATTACATAGATGCAATAGGATGACTTGTTTTTAAAGGAAATTTATCTACAATTTCTCCGTTATCTGTAGATTTTTGGTATATAAACTTTGGTATATAAACTTTACCAAGCAAAGAAAATTTCCTTGTAGTTCTAATTTTCTAAGAGTTACTTCTTAAAATTACAAATAGACATTGGACTTTATCAAGTGTTTAGACTCTGAGGTAATTTCATAATTTTTCTCCTACAATCTATTAATGTGGCGAATTTTGCTGATAATGTTTCTAAGAAAACTATTCTTGTATTTCTGGGATAAATCCTACTTTATTATATGTTATTATTATATCATCATCATGTATTATTTCTTAGTACACCACTGAATTCAGAAAACAAAGATTTTATTTAGGATTTTTGAATCTATGTTTACGAATAAGCCTACACTGTTCTTGTAGAGACCTCATCTAGTTGTAAATCAAGAATTCTATCAGTCCTTTATTTGCAAACTACCTTTTTTGTTGTTGTTGTTGCTGCTGTTTTTAAGAGACACATATTCCTAAGAGACATATATTGCTGGATCTTTTTTAGAATTGAAATCCAGTCCAGGAATCTGTGTTTTTTAATTGGTTAGTTGAATCTTTTTTTTTTTTCTTTCTTTCTTTTATTAACTTTACCTATGGATAACTGAATAGTTAATAAGAGGAAGTGTCTTTTTCCATGGTTGTATTCCAGCCAATAAGTGAAGAAAATTATAGAATTAGAGTATCAACAACTTTGCAGCCTACATTTAATTAATGGATGTAGGCAATGATTAGCAATGACCACATCATAATCTGGTACTTCAACCAAATAGAATGACACACATGATGTACAAAATTGTCTCACAAGGAAAAGAAAAAGTTAAACCGAAATCTGATGAAGACTCTAGGTTCAACTACTCATTTATAGGAAATAAAGGAGACAGGGTAATATGTTAAATTATACCAAGGATATACAATGAACAAAGTCCAGACTCTAGAAAACTTTACAGGGCAGAAAGCCTTATTTTCTTCCACAAAAAGTTATGAGGGGTATAAAGAGAGATGGAAGAAGCTAAAGATTTAAAGGCTTAAAAGATAAGCCAACCACTGCATTGTATGGAACTAGTTTGAATGGCTGGATTTTGAATTATGGAATTACTGGGATCTTTTCAGGCATTCTAACACGTGTCATGGCTAGTATTATTATTATTTTTTTAATCCAATTCGTATTTATTGATATCATATGGAGACAATAGGATGAGAATCATTTGTTATTCCCTTTTTTTTTTTTGATAGGGCATCTCTCATATTTATTGATCGAATGGTTGTTAACAACAATAAAATTCAGTATAGGGGGGTCAATGCTCAATGTACAATCATTAATCCATCTCAAGCCTAATTCTCGTCAGTCTCCAATCTTCTGAAGCACAACGAACAAGTTCTTACATGGTGAACAAATTCTTACATAGTGAATAAATTCTTACATGGTGAACAGTACAAGGGCATTCATCACAGAAACTTTTGGTTTTGATCACGCATTATGACCTATAAACAATCAGGTCAAATATGAATATTCGTTTGATTTTTGTACTTGATTTATATGTTGATCCCACATTTCTCCCTTTATTATTATTATTATTTTTATTTTTAATAAAATGCTGAAGTGGTAGGTAGATGCAAGATAAAGGTAGAAAACATAGTTTAGTGCTGTAAGAGGGCAAATGTAGATGATCAGATGATCAGGTGTGTGCCTATGGACTAAGTATTAATCCAGGCTAGACAAGGGCAGCAAAACATCCACGGATGCAGAAGATTTCTCTCAAAGCAGGGGGGGTGAGGTTCTGAGCCTCACCTCTGTTGATCCCCAAATTCT